AATAATAATAATAATAATAATAATACCCTAACAGGTACCAAAACTGCTTTTTAACCCCAAAAAGGTTTGACAAGCACCCCCGTCCTTCTTTGAATGGGAGTGTCCCCCCACCCACCCCCCAGGTTACAGGTCTAGATTAAAAAATCTAACAAGCCTGATTGCCTTAATTTACGACCATAGGAAAGTAGGGTGAAAAGCAGCCTGCAAACATTCTGAGAACTTTTATTTACAACTCAAACGGCTTTCAGCCACTTAAAACAGTGCAATTATTAGATCGTTAATACATATCTTCCCTGCTTTAAGGCTAAAAATCACATCTACTGCATTTCTTTTTTTGGCCAATCAGAGACAAGTAATTTTCTAAAATGTAATATTACAAACTACAATAAAAAGACAATGAAGGCCTTCTTCGCAACAGCTTACTAACCATGCATTCTGCCACGGGGCAAAAATTGTAAAGAAAAAAACAATTCTCAAGAAAAAAAACTTGAGTGTCAAGTAATAGAGTGGTATATAATTACACAACAATTTCTCTGTATGACCATTGAGGTGGCTATTGTGAGTAAGGCTTTATTATGAACTTTTTTGTTGACATCAATTAATATTACACTTTTGACTGAGTGAAGAAAGTTGTGCAAATAAACATCTGTATCAATACATTTTCTTGAACAAAAGAAAATAGCAAACTAACAATTTGAAAGTGTGTTGTCATTTTGTTATTTTTTATTTTCACTAACTTATTTATAAGAGATGTCAATTGAATTATTACTGTTCTCTTGCAGGAGTGGTTGAATCAGGATTTTGACTTGAAATGTAACAACTACTGAATGATTAAATTTTGGTAAAAAGAACAAATTTATGACCCCTTTGAACTGGTTGAATTTCCAGACCCCCCATCCCATTCCCCATGCAATGGACAAACCAAATAAATTGCTCAAATTTTATGACTTTACCAAGAAGATAATTTCAACAAACTCTTTCTGATACTCAAGTTCAACAGCTGGCCTATTCGCCTAGTTATAGTAAGATTTAATTGACCTTTCAACATTTACCACACTGATACTTATCAAACATATTGCCAACAAACTATTACGTTATGGGTGTTAAACTTCAATCTAAACCCTTTTTCAAGATTTACTTGGCTAGAAGACATGTTAAACCCTTGAGTCTACCAACCCTAAACAATCACTTAAAACTCCATATTTTTCAACTTTGAGCTGTTGGTTTAATGAACACGACAACCAGCTTTGTGGTTTCGTGAAACAATATCACTATTTATTTAACATTAAAACAACCCCTTTAATTAAACACTTGCATTTTAATCACCCACATTTGATTTTTGAGGCCCATCCACAGTGGATTTCAGTGGTTGAGGCGTGTTGTCGACTGGATTATGTGCGTATAAGATAACTGCATATGACACAATTGCTATTGCAATAAAAGTAAAAACATCAACTGGAATTCCAAAGATGAACCAGCACAACACAGCCGTGAACATGATTTCTAATGCACTGGCAAAAGTCTTCAGAATAGAGTTAAGACGCTGTAAGAACAAAGCAGTAGTTATGCCAATGGCAGCATTATTGAATATGATAGCCAAAACTTTGCCATGAAAAAGTGATGATAAGCTGTCTCTGGTGAAGGCATCTGAGAGAGTGCCATTGGTCCAGAGAACAGCAAAATTACAGACCACAGAATCTAAATACATAAAAAAGTTCTGAACCATAAAAGGAACATCGCCACTCTTGCCCTTTAGGAGATACTCATTATAGACCCCTGCAAAACAGGAACAAAACACTTGCACAAGGATTAAAAGCAGGTGCAAGTCAAAGCGCAGTGAAAAGGAGCTGCCTGTAGCAGTGAGATTCTCGTATTTGATCTGCTTTACAATGCAACCTGATGTCAATAGTAACAAAGAGAACCACTGCAACCCACTCAACTTCTTGCTGAACAATATCTGCAAAAAATAAATACAACTAAATAAACATTAAGATAGAAACTACAGTTATTCGAGTAAATAAATAAATAAATAAATTATAAATGAATTAATTAACATGACTGGCAACATCATATTGAATTTTTTTAATAGTCCCCGGAAAATAATTAAATCACTTTGAACTGAAAAGACCAACACATTTTCAAGCCTGAACATTACTAAAACAAATAAAAATATCCAACTAAAGGTACTAGATCTTGATGTACCAAAACAATAATTCTATAATATTATGATTTATTTTCACTAGATACATACACAGAAAATTGATAATCTGTAAAGGCAGGGCTGAAAATATTACTCTTTGTTGAAAATACATATATTAAATGTCTGCCACTATTCAGGCGAGACAAACAAAAATGCTTTATGAATAATATTTTATATTTTTGGACAAATTGTTCACAGATAACATGTAGGTCCAATCACAAACCGAGTCAAAATTTTGCAAAAATGGGAAAATTTAGACCAACTATTAGCTTGACTAGAACAACACTAGCTTGAAAACAATACAAGATTGGACTGACCAAGACTGATAAGCGATGTCATTTCTCTTTATTTCAGATTTTGTTTAGCATTTATTTGTAACAAATGTGGCAAAATTTTAACGCCTTGAATTACTAAAAGGTCTGCTCGCAGTTGAGAAAAATTTGAGAGTAATTTGCTCAAGCCTGAACAATTTTTACCAGGATAGGCTTTTGTAATGTTACAATAAATCTGATGATGGTTAATGCTTTGCATATTTAATATTGTTTCATTTATTTCCAAAACACCTGTTAAAACACAAGGTTAGGCCAGTTGTTCAAAAGCTGAGTAAATGTTAAATAATCTAAGTTCACTTTCTCACAAAGTTTTTTCTTCTGTATCATTTTGAAACATTCTACACTCTTATAATGTTAGGCTACAATTTAGTATGAATTTTAGAGAAAAAAAGAAGAGAAAGAATGATAACTTTTAGAAAGTTATCATGGGTTTCAAAGGTTTTATTAGTAACTTCAAATACACCATTTACAACATTTGTAAATTACATAGTAATAAAATAAATAGTACATGGCTTATACATGTACAAACCTTTTCTGTTTAGCTTCAGGGTGCAAGATTAACATTTAAACATACTGTCTAGCCAACTGGCTCGAGAGATCTCACATTTTATCTAGTCAGATTTTCCTCTAGTCAGGGTTACGAACATAATTTTATTTCTGCACCCTTTCTTCAATTTACAAGGTCTGGAATTGACCCTGCTAGAGGTTAAACATTGTAAAAAGACTAAGACATTAAGCTTTTGTAGTTCACATTTTATGACGTTTTACAGTGAGCAATCACAAATGACAACTACATGACAAGTCTGAATTTTTTTCAAATACTGTACCAAAAGCCAAATTGGAATTTTTACTCAACTCTGTGACCAGTTTGCTACTGTTAGTCTTGAGCCCTGAGTTTATGCATGTAAATTGGCAAAATGCTAACTATGACATGAGACAACAACATTTACTGAAGCAGTAATCTCTCCTGGTTACCACCTAATAATGGCTGTTAAAATTGAACCTTCGAAGGAAATAAATAGCACATTTACTTTTTTAAAGCAAATGTATCAATCATTTAGATACTGTAATACACTAGCCAGTAATGTTTTTAGCCCTTACTATAATTATCTAAAGGACTGGCGTAACAACCACCTGATATTATAGGAATGCTTGAGTGCAAAATACTAACTAACAACTTAAATTCCCATGACTACACTGTGACTTAAAATGCAAAAGTCAAGAAAAGAGACATTCGTTTAGGACTACTTGCTTTGTAAATAAACATTACATTTCACATTAAGTAAAATAAAAATAACATTTACCACACCTTTAAAAACTGAAAGCAGCTCAGAAATGGTGATTAAAATAAATCTCTACATTTTTTACTGATATCAAGTTTTACCTTCATTTGGCACCAAGATTTGAAAAAAAAAAAATTAAACTCCAGTAATTATTATTAAGCATGTATCAGGTTGTACTTTTTTTTATCAAGAGAGGTACCTTTCAGGGGCAAATTGAGAAATTAACTTTTAGTTAAGTTATCAACTCTGACCTGAAAAATAACTCCTGTTACTACAACACGAAACTGAAGCAGTAGGTAGTATGTGGTTGGGTCATAGTTTGCCAGATTAACAAAAGCCAAGTTGTTATAAAGGCAGTACATGAATGCTGGGACAACGTAGAGAAGTAAAACTATAAAACAAAGAAAATATTCATACTGTGAAGGTTAGTAAATTTTAAAAAAAGCTAGCTTTATACTTAGAAAGATCAACTTTAGCATAACTGTTAGACCTACATAGACCAAGCTTCATGTGTTGGAATATTTTTCAAGGATTTGCATTTAGTGACAACCTAAATTGAGAGCATTGCATGAGTAATGAAATAACAAATCAATAAATACTAAAATTGTTGACTTCAGCAAAGTCATGGTCTCCTGGGGAAAGGTATATATGGTGCAAAATACTGTTTCCAGTAGTGCAATGCGCTTACGAAAAGCCAGTGGTTTCAGGTCAATGGATTTCAACTTTCACCTGACAATTCAGCAAATTTATGTTTTGATTTGACTTAGTTACGTCTATTGAAAGCAACTTCCGGACAATTAAACCTTGCTGTAAGGTAGTCTATGGGGCTAAAATTTAGTGTTTTACCATCTTGGTAACAGTAGCTGATGTAATTTACCAATTTCCAGAGCTTTTTGTTTTTAATTTGAATTTTACTCAGACATGAAAAAACTGACTGATACTACCAAATCAAATTTTAAACTCAAGACAGTACCTCACTCACACATACAGTTCTCACTTAAGTGTTAAAGAAATTCGTATTTGCTTCATTCTGCATTACCACTCTAAGAACCTGGCTCAAATAACTTGTGCCGCTTTGTCATCCAATCACAAGAGAAACAAAAACCAACTGTGACTACGCTGCACACACAGCAAAACTCAAATTTGGCCAACAATTGTAAAAATTACACCCCAGCTAAAGAATCATACATGTTAATCTAAGATTATGCTGACAACTAGATGGAGTGGGTATGGACAAATTATTCAAACCTTTGCTTGCCACAGAAAAATTACTGTGGTTGAAAATGTCTGATCCTATGGTAAGTTTAATCATTATTCCATTTTTCCCGTGATGAATTTGACAGGTTTGATCAAATTTAGCTGGGACTTAAAAGTAGATTACTTGACTCTTCATAGCTTGCATTTTGATTGTTTACAACAAGAATACTAACTAGGGGTACTTAGGGGTAAAGTATTAAACCGCGTTAATCAACGTTCATACACGCTTGCAAACCTGCAGAATGTTAAATTATTTACCTTTAGTGTTAGACCGAACTTCTTCCACAAATTCTCCCAAAGTTGAACTAAACATGAACACGGTATAAAACATTTAATGAATTATTTTCAACGTACATTTTAAAATTACAAGCAAAGACCAGAAGAGATGGCTCAAACTTTTGGCAAGATTTCCGCTCGAATCGCTTACTTATTGTACATAAGTTCTTTCATACAAATTGCGAGCCTTTTTCCCACCGAACAAAACTGCTTTTGTGTTTGTATAAAGGCTATATGCAAATAAGTAAATTAGGAGCGATGCGGAAATCTTAGCAAAGTTTCAACGTACGTCCTCATCTGCAGTCCCACAGCAACAAGAAGTTTGACAAATTCTGTCAAAAGCACCACTGTAACCGTGTTGTAGGAGTAATGGTTTTCTTTGTCTTTCGTCGCTGTAACAAGGATACCTGTCGGAAAAAAATAAGACCAGTATTGAGAACGCTGAGAATATCTAACCGTAAATCTACAAACAATTGTACTGTACAAATACTGAGTCAACCGAAGAAGTCTCGGATGACTAATACTTTCATGAAGGGCAACATGTCTTAACCTATGCTTACGAAATGTAGATTTTATTAAGGTGTTAACTTAGCGTTCGCACCCTGATTTATGAACAGTGCCATGTATCCTACGAAAATGAAAAAGTGGTTTTTCGTAGGGAAAAGGTTTTTTAGATCTGCGAGAGCGCCAACACCCCGTAAACCCGCCATAGTTTTCGCTTCCTGCATCGGGGCAGCCATTCAACCGTGTTATGTAGCCGACGTGCTGAGAAGAATGGCGCGACTATGCTCGCTTCTTTGAATCATGGGAAAGCTCTCCCCAGTTTTCTCGTCTTATTGCCATAGCAACAACCATCTTGAAGGAAAAGCAAAAAGAGAGCAAAGATGGCGGACTTACCGAACGTGGGAGAAGATAGTCCTAAAAGAACGCGGGTATTCGTGAATCATGTGGATTTATTCACTGGTAAAAATATCAGCAAGGTAAGGAAGATGACAAAGATAAACTCATTCCAATAGCTGGAAGAACGGGAATCACTTTCTAAGTCTTGACAGCAAAATCAACTTGTGTTAATTCCGACTTAAGCTTGGTTTTATTTTGGTTAAAATAAAAGCACCTAAGTCTATACAGCACTTCCTTTGATCATTTTTCTTACTTCAATTTCAGGTGAACATGTTTATCGTTTAGGGCTTTCTGCAAACATTGTTCAACTGATGACCAACTTGTCAGCTTAATATATAAAACTTAGTTCATCTGCACAAGTTAAGCTGTATTTCAATAACATTTTTCTTTCCTTTTCCAAGATATTAGCATCCTCTGTTGTCGGTGCTACAGCAGAGGAAGATGAAGGCAACGATGATGAGTCCCAAGCTAGTGGACAGCCTCAAATTCCAAAGGAAAATTGTTATGAAGTAGTTGGTACCTTGCAAGATCCAACTCAACGCAAACCTGAATGGGTTGAGGACGTGTTTGAGGTGTGTGCTTTAGGTTTTACAGTAAATCTCTGTAAGGTTTACAGTAAGATCTCTGTAAACCGATTTCTTTCTTTTTGTGTGCAATTCTTCCCATCTTTAAGCCGGGGGGGGGGNCGCTTCCCAAAACCCTTACCCTATTTATGACAAAAATCAGCAATATTCCCTACCCAATTTATGACCTAACCAAAAATTCAAAACCCTATTTGTGACATAGCCCTCAAATCAAAACCCTGTTTCAGACCTGCGCTATAATTAGTTCCCTAGTTCAGACCAATGTTAAATTACCGTAAACATAATATTATTTGTGAAGGGCCTTTGTTGATTTTCTTTTCCATAATGATGAAAAAGTGGCTTCCTTTTAAAAACATACCCATATCAAGGCACGAGTGCAAAAACCATACCCTATTTATGACCAAAATGGCCAAAATCAGCTAAAATCGATACCCTATTTATGACCAAAACAGCTGAAAAACCATA